GATTTCTCCCTTTCTGTCTCTCTGTCTCTCGTCTGTCTGGCGAGTGCATGCACCCTATGGCAAAAACCTCTCCAAAAAAAAAAAAAATTGGTCCTTTCTTGTGTTGCTGATAGGTTCATGTACTATGTAAAGCCGCATATTAGATCTTGTACGTGAACAAGATTTTCCATTTTATTCCCTTACCCTAACATGACTTTCTGCTTCTGTAAACATGCTTGATCTTTTTCATACCTAATATGTTGTTTTACTTGCCAGGAAGAATTTTTACACTTGATATGTTGTTTAATGACTAAGTTAGTAGTTTGCTGTGAAGAAAATGTTTGATTATAATGCTGCTTCCTGAGCGAATACCTTACTTCATTTTGTAGTACATTCAGCTTGGCATTAGTTATGTTCCCAGAAATTTAACACTCAGCCAACACCTTAGGGCTATTGGCAAGACAGAAACATCAAGTTACTTAGAAAGGATATCTCATCTGGCTGAGAGTGGGCCTCTCATTGGAAACAATGCAAGTGAGGAAAGAATGGGAACATATTTTCAAAGTATTAAGCGAAAAGTAATTTCAACCAAGAATACTGTACCCGGCAAGATTATCCTTCATATGGGAGGAAAAGACAAAAACATTCTCAGACATGTAAAACTTGAAAGAATTTAACAACACCAGAACAGATCTTCAAGAAGTTCTCAAGGGAGTGCTATACCAAAAAAATTAAATACAGACACACAGAAATAAGAGTTTGAAAACTAAGAAAATGGCCAAATTAATCATAGGGACAAGTCTGGACTTGAATATTATATCCAAGAATTTAATCGGATAAATCAAACCACAAGAGAAGATAGTTTAAGTACATGAGACTGAACTGGTTAAATAGAATTTTATGACTTTTGAATAAAACATTACTGACTTTCTTCTATGTTTTCTTTTTAGTTTTAAAAATTTTGGTCCTATCTTGGGACCAGCAGTTAGCGTAATGGCTATGTCGCTGGACTCCCATGCAGTCGACCGTGGTTCGTGTCCCGGACCCGGTGACTTAAAACTCACACCAGGTGCGTGTGCATGTGTGCCCAAGATCCCAAGAGGAGAATGGAGGAGAAGGGTTTGCGGTGTGGCCATCCCCCCTGGGGGGTGATTTCTCACTTTCTGTCTCTCTGTCTCTCATCTGTCTGGCGAGTGCATGCGCCCTATAGCAAAAACCTCTCCAAAAAAAAAAAAAAAAAATTGGTCCTTTCTTGTGTTGCTGATAGGTTCATGTACTATGTAAAGCCGCATATTAGATCTTGTACGTGAACAAGATTTTCCATTTTATTCCCTTACCCTAACATGACTTTCTGCTTTGTAAACATGCTTAATCTTTTTCATACCTAATCTTTTTCATACCTAATATGGTATGGTTTTACTTGCTGGGAAGAAATTTTACACTTGATATGTTGTTTAATGACTAAGTTAGTAGTTTGCTGTGAAGAAAATGTTTGATTATAATGCTGCTTCCTGAGCGAATACCTTACTTCATTTTGTAGTACATTCAGCTTGGCATTAGTTATGTTCCCAGAAATTTAACACTCAGCCAACACCTTAGTGCTTATCGCTGATACCAGACCAGCCATATGCTGACTGATAGCATGAGGGACATAAGCATGGTCTATGCTTCAACCATCTCATGACTGGCAAAAATATGTAAACAAATCCCAGTTTGTTTTGACCAAAATCCCATAGATTTACATATAAAATGTTACAAAAATATTTTGTCTTGTCAAGTCACCATGAGCCTGTCAAAATTAGACATAAAAAGAAGAGCCTGAGCCCAGCTCATCGGATTTGTCCTCCACTTGGGCCAGATCCCGTCTCGCTGCATCTGAGACCTCCCTTGCAGCCAGAGGCTTTGCCAGTTTGCACACTGACTCCTACTCTCCCAGACGGCCCTCTGTTTCAGCGTCTTTGATGCTCCACTGTTGGCCGCTAGCCCTGACCTCTATACTCTAGGATCACTGGGTGAACTTTTCTTTCTTGTTTGCCCTTAGTCATCTTGTGGGCACCACCACCATCATTCTCTAAATCTTCACAGAGCTCATTTTTGTCTCACTGCCTGTGCCTTATAGACATCCAGCTACTCAGCACTTGGCCTCCCTTTCGCCCTTGGGGACTGCACTCCCTGTTGCCACGCAAGCATAGGACATTCTGCTCTGCTCATTCCATCTTGACTTGTAAGCCCCTTTTTCCCTGTGTGATTAAAGTAATCTAAAGGCAAACCTGAGTCCTGTCCTCCTTCTGTGGGCTAGAGCACAGATTGGCTGCAATGGCTTGGGCAGCTGATAAAAGTGAATTGAACCTCTATTAAGTCATGCTTAAACTCTCTCTCTCTCTCCCTCCCTCCCTATCTAAAACTCCCTTTGCTGTGCTGCAAAACAATGGGACACCACAAATGCGGTCATAAGAGGGAAGTTCATAGCAATTAGTGTACCTAAGAAGATGAAGAGTTGGCAAATAGACAACCTAACATTATGCATCTGAGAATTGGAAAAGCAACCACAAAAACATACAAAAAAAAAAAAAAAAACCTCCAGAAGAAAAGAAATAATAAATGTTTGAGCAGAAATAAATGAAATGGAAAATAAATTAATTATACAGAAAATAAATGAAAGTAAAAGTTGGTTCTTTGAAAATACAAACAAAATTTACACACCACTAGATAGACTAAGAGGATGAGAGAAAGGAACCAGATAAATCAAATCTCAATGAAGTAGGCAAGATAATAACATACATAACAGAAATACAATATATCATTAGAAGAAACTATCAACAACTATATACCAACAAACAAGAAATCTTGGGTGAGATGGATAAATTTCTGACACATATAATCTACCAAGATTGAGTCAGGAGGACATAGAAAGTCAGAATAGGCCCATAACAAGCCATGAGATTGAATCAGTAATAACCTCCCAACAAAGAAAATCCTAGGTCCTGATGAACTCACTTAAAAATTCCACAAAACTTTTAAAGAAGAGTTAACCCCCATTCTATTCAAGTTATTTCTAAAGATACAAAAAAAATGGAATTCTCTGAAATTTATCCTACGAGGTCTCCATCACCCTTATCCTTGACAAGGAAGGAAAACTACAGACTAATATCTCTGATGAATATACACACAAAAATTCTCAGCAAGATATTAACATATCGTATCCAGCAACATATAAAAAGATTATAGATCATGACCAGGTACGTTTTATTCCAGGGTTGCAAGGATGGTTCAACATACACAAAACCATAAACGTAATACATTTTATTAACAGAAAGAAAGATAAAAAATATATGATCATATCAATTGATGCAGGAAAAGCATTTAATAAGATATAACATTCCTTCATGAACAAGACTCTCAGCAAAATTAGCATAGAGGGGTCATTCCTTGGGAACAGCAGTTTGCATAATGGCTATGTTGCTGGACTCCCATGTACTTGACTGCAGTGCCAGGTTGTATTTCTGGTGAGTGCACACACCCTATAGCAAAAGTTTCTCAAAAAAAGAAGGGTCATTCCTCAGCACAATAAAAGCTATCTATGAAAGACCCATAGCTAACATCATCCTTAATGAGGAAAACTGTAAGCTTTATCACTAAAAACTGGTACAAGACAAGGATGCTCACTTTCTCTGTTCCTTTTCAATAGAGTACAGGAAGTTCTCACCAATGTGATTGATCAGAAAAGAGAATAAAATAAAAGGCACTCGAATAGGAAAAGAAGAAGTAAAATTATCTCTATTTGCAGATGACATAATTGTAAACATAGAAGACCCAATTTTATCTATAAAAAAATTCCTGGAAGTAATAAATAATTACAGTAAAGTTGCAGGATACAAAAACAACACACAGAAATCTATAGCATGTCTATATATGAACAGAAGGCAGACTGAGATAGAATTGAAGAAAGTAACTCCACTTACAATTACCACAAAATGTATAAAATACCTAGGAATACATTTAACCAAAGAAGTTAAAAACCTCCATGAGGAAGCTAAAAAAAGAAATTGAAAATGATACAAAAAATTGGAAGACCATCCCATGTTCCTGGATTGAAAGAATTAACATAATCAAAATGGCAATTTTACCGAAATTAATCTACATACTTAATGCAGTCCCAATCAAAGTACCAGAGACATTCTTCACAAATGTAGAGATGACAATCATACAGTTTGTCTGAGATCATAAAAGACCAGGTATTGCAAAAATCAATCCTGTACAAGAAGAGTGGAGTGGGCAGTACCTCACTCCCTTACCATAAAATATACTATAAAGCTGTGATAATCAAAACAGCATGGTACTGCCACAAAAACAGTAATGTGGACCAATGGGTCAGAGTAGAGAAGAGACCTTAGAAATAAACTCCAAAACATACAACCAACTGATTTTTGAAAAATGATACTGATCAATCCAGTGAGGTGGGGGGGGACTACTTTAACAAATGGTGCTGATAAACTGGATATCCATCACCAGAAAGATAAATCTGGAATCATACCCTCATCATTGTCAAAAATCAACTTTAAGTGAATCGAAGATCTAAATGTAAAACCTAAAACTATAAAACTACTAGAAAACTCTGGAAAAACTCTGGGCGACATTGGGGTAGGCAAAGTCTTCTTGAATAAGACCCCCAAAGCGCAGGCAATAATCCACCAAAGAAAAGTGGGATTACTTCAGATTAAGAAGTTTCTGCATGATAAAAGACACAGTAAATAGTAAGAATCGACAACCTTCAGAATGGGAGAATATTTTTGTAGACTATGCTTCAGATAAGGGACTCAAACCAAAATACACAGGGAACTCAAGTGGCTTACCCCTCAAAAAATGATCAATCCAATTAAAGGATGGGAAAATAATATGGATAAACAACTCCCTAAGGAAGACATACAAATAGCCAAAAGGTATATGAAAAAAAGCTCAATATCCATTATCATAAAGAGATGCAGATTAAAACCACAATTAAATACCACCTAACCCAGCAAAAATGACTAAGATTAAAAATAAAAAAAAA